AGAAAAAAAAAAAAAAAGATAAAAGAAAAAGAAGCCCGAGCAAAAGATTTAGGCCAACATAACCCACCACCATGTGAGAGAATAATAATTAAACAAATAAGCCAACACAAAAAACAAGCAAAAACTAAGTCATGTCATTTGTGGTACCAGGAAGTGTGTACAGTATCCAAAACTAATTCTATCACCGTAAAATCTTATTCTGTAGACAACCATAATACAAGTCAGATAAAATTAGTTTGAAAATTATGTCATCCTCGCCAGCTTTTAGTTACTGACCCACTCAAAGTTAAAAGTTAATTTGGCTAAGTTTGTTATAGCAACCATCAAAACAACATACCCAATACAGAAGGCATACATACATACCTGTGATGAAAACAAAGTGGACCTAGATATAGCTTCTTCATTCCAGCGTACAAACTCAGTCACAACAGTCACGGATATCTGCTGCTGGGATGATGTCATGGAAGCTCCTTTTGCACGTCCTATGCTTCCAGTAGAGTCAGACGACTGCTGACTTTCAGCCCGCAGTTCATCCATCTGGTTAACAGAAACAAGTTTTTTTATTTCGAGAAAGAGTCAGTAAGCCAAACCTTTTGTTGATTACTCAATTGAAGGTTAGGATTGAGAAATGTTGATTGAAAATTCAGGGCAAACCTTTGACTTATACAGTTGCCTGAGAGAAGCTTGCTCATATTCTATATATATATCTTTGTGTGGAAGAAACAAAGACTCTGTTAAACCTGAACAACAGAATAATATCATTTACTTAAATGCCTCTGCATATCATGCTAGTAACTATACTCCTGTTTGAAAAACATAAATAATCTCCAAATGAGCTGTGATCCACGTGAAGCCAAATAAAACTTCGAATGTACGTTATTGCAGTTTCCTTTATCAAAATATCCTAAAATGGTTCTCGGAGATGCTTTAGGCCGCATTGGCCTTGACCTACATTTCTAAGTATTGTCACACATCACATTCCCCTGGCTTTCTAGATTAAAAGTTTGACTAACAGAATAAGAATAATTAGGTAATTAAACAAAATCGGTATTAAACACCCTATAGATAAACTGAATTTATTGATAACATCAGGATAACAACTTATTTGTGCATCGGATATGCTAAACAAAGAAGCAGAATTACAATAAATTAGTTCCCAAGACATTGAAGCCATTTGACTCACAGAAGAAGAAACAACTCTCATATTAGTACCTTCAACATCCAAGTCGCCGCACCCCACACTGCGAAGATCTTTAGCAAGATCCTGTGTCTTCTCATATGCCACTGCCAACATTCTAAGATACTGAAAATAAATGAAATCTTAATTAACCCCTATTGACGCAAAATATGGGATTCATAAATTAGTTAGAAGGTACAGATGGAGCTTACTAATATAAGTCCACCTTCTTCCATGGGGGGTGGATTAAGCAGAGTCGGTTTTACCAATAACTTCTCAAGAAGTTTAGGAACACGGTCTTCCAGAACCCGCTACACATTGGAACATAATTTCAAAATCAAAACAGGTAATAAACCAGTTAAAAACCCACAATTTAAACTCTCTGTGAATTTCAAACAGAAAAAACCTAAGGGCGTGGAGCTAAGAAGTTGCGTTAGTAAATTCATATATTTTAAATTAATTGATTGTGCTAATCATTATTCAAAATATGCACTTTGATACAAGACAATGAATTGGATATCCATTCAAGATTGCCTCGAAAAAATGGACTAATCTTCTACAGATATATACAGTGAGAAAATAAATTGGAACAATTTGGTAATTTCAGTGACCAGGAACATTAATTTTAATTTTTGCTTGTTTTAACAAGTATTCCAACCTAATAATAGAAAACACTAAGGCGCCATGAACATTTTGGGGAAGCTAGGATTTTTATATGCTGGTAGACCTTATTTTCTCTTCCAACGATCATCTACGTTTGGCTTGTAGCAGAACAATCTGCATATCGCGTAGCAATCTTATATAAAAGTAATTGGACATATGTAACCGATTATGATAACAGCATGTTCGAGTCAGGTATTTGTGTGGCACGACATGAAAGCTGAAAGCTGAAGAACTAAAACAATTAACTGCAGGAATACCTGAACCAATATTGACATGACATCATTTGGTGAAGGAAATACTGCTGTTATTGTTGCTGCTTCTTTTCGTACAGTATCTGCAAGACAGGCTTAGTAAGCACAGAAACATTTTTTAGCCCCCAGCTTGCATTTTTATATCAAGTTACTCAAACCTGTAATTTCTTTGTATAATGAGGAAAGCCCACGAGCAACATTGCTAGGGCTAATCTGAGAACCGGGGTCACCAAGAACCAATTTAGCATCTTCATTCATGACCTCCAAATCAAACATTGGACGTAAACCTACATAATGTTGCATAGCACTGGTACCCCTGTTGAACTGAAATCCACAAATAATATGAGAAGGTCTAAGGCAGAAAATGATACTTAACAACAAAAAAACATACAATATTGAAACAACTTCATTACATATTTCGCAACCCGGTTCGCATACATTGAGAAATATTCTGGTATGGAAGTTTCACAAACACAAAGTCAGAAACTAAAGATGCATGTAGAGGCAAGCCCTGCCCCATACCTGATACCACTTTCCAACAAAAATTTTCAAAAATGGTAGAGGTAAACCAACTAATGATCTTTTATATGTATAGTGTGACAAAAGCTCGGCAAAATTTATTCTTTAAAATGGTACTGGTTCTTTATATGCATGTTGGTCAAATTCCAGATCAAATGTTTCAAGACATAATTTGTCCTATATACACATCAAAAGAGATCACCTGTGACAAAATTTTGGCGCATTCTGCCATTGTAGACAATTCCCGTTTCTGTGATGCTGCATCAAATCTGGCCAACAGTCTGTTTTCTAGTTCTGTGTGTATATAACACCGAAGGTAATCGCCATTCGATTTCCAAAAAAAATTTAAAAAAGGCAAAAGAAGATAGAATGCAAAACTCCAGGTAACTCATCTCCAAATGAAATTGCTATAAAACAAGGACTTCTTACATGAAGTATTGAGCATAGTATTGAGCATACAGGCACAAATATAATGGTAAGTAGTATTTGCTAACACAGCACCACGAGAATATAGAAAAAATGTTCAAAGCAGCACTGAGACTAGAATAGAAGAAGAATGAGTCGAAGGCATTGAAACTTTTCACGACATCATTAGTTTTAGTCTAGCACAAATCTTAGTAGGGGGCAGTCAGGCGGGAATCCAACCCCAGATGCTAGCATCTTCTCGAACATTACATTCTTCAATCAGATGGAAAACTGGCAACTCCGTACACACGAACAAGACTTATGCATGACATGCAAAGTAAACAATGTGAACTACTAAAGAGCTAAGTTCATATATCTATGCGATCTTATAAAGACTAAAATCACATTTCAGCTAAGAACACATTCTAACCGCATCTATAGTTGGCTGAACTCTAGCCGGGCTACAAACTTTTTCAGGAGAATATACATCTTCATGGAAGGTTTAAATACAAGGATCCTCAGAAGTGGTGAAAGAAACATTTCAATGAAGGCAGTCGGTGCTTTATAGTTAAACAGTATTTGTAAAAGTTAATCAATAGGATAAGAGAGATATCACACCATTGCAATATTCTTGGAGATTAGCAACTGCCACTTCCAAACCTCTGCTTGCGGTTGCATTCCCAATAGAGACTGCAAGGCCTTGTCTACCAATATCTTCTTCGGCAAATGTTCCTACAATAAAGCTTGTTAGTGAACCTATCTACAACACTGTAATAATATTAATCAGAGTCGGGTATCTGCAAGATAGATAAAGAACAAAAAATAGGACAAAAACTGAACTTTTCAGCTGTTAAAAAACTTGTCAAGATGACAAAATTGACCTAAGCTCCTAATTAAATGAAATTATTCACAGTATCAAAATGAAGTCAAAAGAACTACGACAAAAGCTTCAGTGAGATGCCTATCTTACAGGCTGCACAAAGCTGAGTTTTGTATTTTAAAGTTCATATATTTTCTGCGATTCCGCTGCTGAAAAAGTGAAAAAGTTTGTTGAGCTTGAAGAATGCTTAAGCAGGTAAATAAACAAGATGATAATCGTGATAAGATCTTGCAGAACATATAAATTTCAAAACTCTTAACAGTTTTCAAACAGACATCTATATAAGTGTACTGCATATGTATGTACATATATATTTGCATTAACTGAATCATTTTTTCTAAAGCTCTTTCTCTCAGGAACAAACTAGCAAAAGAATATGGGCATACCGCATAGTTATATACTCAATAACCGAGACAGGGTTAGACAAATCAGCTGAAACATATGGTTTCTCAAGAACTGCATAACACAACGAAAACCTACAACAATACATGACTTTGCAAGAGAATATGCTAGATTTTATGGATAACATAAAGTTATTAAAAGTGACAACCTATGGCTATGTAAACCAAAATTGACCCACTCTTCCAAGATGTGAAATAATAGAAGTTAAAAACAATACTAATTAATCTGGGATCTTCCAACTCCCAATGTACAATATCACAACAAACCATTCCTGTGAACATGCAACAAAATTTAATATATGTGCCAAGGATTGTGTTGAGAATTACTAAGAACTTATATTTTTTTTTTTAAATTTCCAAACGATATGAACATCTTACTCAATTTTTGTGCAATTGAAGCTGCTTCGGCTACCCGACTATCATCAGAGAATAAAGGCGAAAGTTCCATCAAGTCACCCGGACTGCTATTGAACTCCATCAAGTACTGCAGGATAAAATTTATGTTGTCTTACTCAGGGGGAAGATAACATGGCTAATGACATTATAAAAATACCAACTAAAAAATTTTAAGACCCATCAATTAAAACTACACCTTAATGAGATCTATAGTCTGAGTGGCAGTTTCTCGCTGGGCATCAGCACTCTGGAAGATGGAAATGGCTAAATCAGCAAAGTGGTAATTTGACATTGCATCATGGAAAGAAGAAAGTTGAAGGAGCATTGTATTAGCGTGAAACTAAAAATCTGGCAAAAACAAAAGACACTTGATCTAGAATTTTTTGTATAAACCCACCTGCAGATGGTCTCCTATCTTAGCAGCAGTTTGGCCAACACTTGATATACGTGAATCCAACCTTGCGAAACTGTCAAACAAGCCATCAACACCTTTTTCCAACTGCATATTATATGGCAAACATAACCAACATTTCCTTGAGATCATAAAATAGATTATGAAAAAAGAAATACGGATTAATGAATAAAACATTCATCAAATTAATTAAAAGGTTATTATCTGCAAAGGCCAGCAGTCTAACCTCAGAAAGTGTTTTCCGGTGCTTAGAATCTTGGGAAGCAACTTCCTTTTTGAGATTGTTGAGCTTCCCATCAATCTGTGAGCATACATCGACATTCGAAAGATATTCAAAATTAACCAAAAATCTGAAAAAACTCAACAAAAACCGAGAGTTTACCTGCTTCCTAAGATCAATCAGCTGCATACACGAATTCTTAAACAAAGATAACAACGCATCTACTTCAGGAAACAATGGACTTGATGATGATAACCCTTGAGCCCATTTTCCAGCATCAGAGCCAGTTCGCAAATGACCATTTGCCATCGCGTCATTTGCACCATGTCCGTCGGAAGTGTCTGCTTCTTCTTCCAAATAAGAAGGAAGCAGCTTATTAACTAAACTCCCAAACAGTGCATCGAAAGAGAAGTCACCCTGCATGATACGAGTACGTCACAGCCAATAAATTTAATTAGCTTCAAGTGTAAAATCAATTAGTCCTTCACTATCAGACACTTGAAAACACATTTGATGCATCACCTTAAAGTCATCGATGTCTAGAACAAGCGGATAGGAGTCCATTGATGGAGTTTTCGATAGCCTCGTCCCACCTTTATGTTATGAACATAACCGGAGTTGGCCAAGGATTGGGAGTTGCCGGAGAAGAGAGGGAAAAGCGCGATTTGGGAATTGATTACCAGGAGGAAGAAGGCTCTGAAATCCCTAATTGTAGAAAGAGGAGAAAACGGGCAAGCCCAACATTGAAGAAACCAAGTGGGCCGAGACAGGGAACCAGGGTGGAAAGAAAGAATGACCCGGTGCACGTCACTAATAAATTTTTATTCTTTAAAGACGACATAAGTTTTTTATTATCATTCTTAATTTTTACTTACTACTTGTACGAACTCTCCAAAAGATAAAGATACATGAGTTTTATTTTCACCAACAGATTCACTTCCTCTCGACTTTAATTCTCCCCTTACAGAAGCAAATCCCCTTCTCTCCATCTGTCGTCGCGGCTTGCTCCCCTCCTCCGACCATGGGTTCGACCAGTGATGAGCGGCCTTCTCCTGCGGGCTCCGCTTTTCTGGCCGTGGGGTGATTCCCCACACCAGTGGAGGTCTGCATCTGAGGGCCATCGAAATTGCCGCCAACGTCGCCCTCTCTTCGAGATGGTCTCCCTCTCTGGTTTCCTTCTCCCGCGTCTGCAACGTCCGCCGCCTCGAGGTGAGGGTTAGTGATTTAGGGTTTCACAAATTTTAATTTTTTTTTAAGGTTTCATTGATTGATCTAGATGTATGAGTTGTTGAATTTAAGATCTGAAAAATTGAAGATAGAATTCCAGTAACACCTTCGCATTAAGATAATTTCTGAATTTAATATCACATTTTTTTTATCGTCTCCCTACTCTCGTCACCGGCAACGTCTGTCGCCTCATAGTGTTACGCAAATTAATTCTTTCTTTGTATATTGTAGATTTAAGATCTGATTTGAAAATAGACTCATGGTCTGTTCGAGAACTCTTGTTGGATTTGAAAGGAGATTTGTTAGAGTTAATTTGATGTTTATCTTGAGTTAGTTTGATGTTTATCTTTGAGTTAATTTGATGTTTATCTTGAGTTAGTTTGATGTTTATCTTGAGTTAATTCAAAGTCTGCCCATATATATGAGTTATGAAAATGCTTGCGTCCTCATTCAGATGGGATCCCATGATTTCGAACATTGTTGGAGATGAGTTGAAGGTTACGTTCTGCTTATTGCGAATTTGTGTTTTTATAAAGGCGTTGAGGGTTTCTACTTGAAGATTGACAGCTTCAGTATAAACGCATTGAGACATTAGGACATGCCTATTGATTTCGAGACTGATTGGAAAAAGAATCGATTTCGACTTAGGACTTGACCTTTTTTTCAATTTATTGTTGTTTATATTCACATATGGTTTGTGTAGATTCAGCCTTTTGGAAAAATATTATTCAAATGTTTGATTTAATTATTTTGTGGATGAATTATATGTTTACTTGATGTTAAGATTCGACAAAAGAGCAGTCATTTTTTGGTTGGTTAATTATTGTATATTTTTTTGTGAATATTTCTTATGGTTATTTATATCGATGGTTTTTATTTTATTTTTATTTGTTGTTATGTTGTATTTTATATTTTAGTTGTTCATTAATTTTGTGAGTGAATGTTTCATTTTTGTGTGGATGAAAGTATTATTTTTATAACTATAGTAAACTAAAAAATATACGATATATAAATTTTCCTTGTATAATATATTGAAAATAAACTATACATAAACTTAAAATTTACAGTTTGATTCTTGTAATTTTATAATTATAATAAACTAAAAATATACTATATATAAATTTTCCATGTATAATAAACTGAAAATAAACTATACATAAACTTAAAATATACAGTTTGATTCTTGTAATTTTATAACTATAATAAACTAAAAATATACTATATATAAATTTTTCATGTATAATAAACTGAAAATAAACTATACATAAACTTAAATTTACAGTTTGTATTCTTGTAATTTTATAACTATAATACACTAAAAATATATAGTATATAAATTATCCATGTATAATAAACTAACATAAACTTAAATTTATAGTTTGTATTCTTGTAATTTTATAACTATAATAAACTAAAAATATACTATATATAAATTTTCCATGTATAATAAACTGAAAATAAACTATACATAAACTTA